GGCCACTTAGTGAACCTGCAATATCTAGATGTCTCTGGCAACGAGCTTGAAAGCTTGGATGGATTCAGTAGTCTGATTCACCTGAGAGAACTAAAAGCGGAAGACAACAACATCCGAAACATCGAGGGCATTTTCGAACTGGACGGACTTCTAAGCCTGAAGCTGCGAAACAATAGCTTGACGACTGTCGATTTTGAAGGCTCAGAGCTGTAAGTACTCTCATTCCGGCCCAGACTGCTACAGGGCAGCCGACTCATCTGCTATTATAGGGTTCGCTTGGAAGAGTTAGATCTCAGCCATAACCAACTGATGTCAGTACAAAATATCGAGTCGCTTTCAGCATTGTCAAACCTCGACCTCAGTTTCAATCAGCTGGCTAGAGTTGCTCCATCGGCACCTATGCCATACTTATCATCCCTACGCCTCTCCAGTAACCAACTACATAGCCTGGATGTTACAGCTTTCCCGTCGCTTACCCTTCTTTACCTCGACCACAACTACTTATTCACAGTGTCGGGCCTTGAACACTGTGCAGGCTTGGACGTCTTCTCTGCTCGTGAGCAGATGAATACAGGCGACCACAATGGTGGTTTCTTTGACGTGGACCTAGGCTTAGTAAAGGACGTTCGGAAAGTATTCCTATCTTGTAATAAACTGTCTTTGCAGTGTCTGTCTCCGTCCAACCCCCTTTCAGGCTTGCAACTGCTCGATGTTGCATCTTGCAGTATCCAAAGCCTCCCCGTGGACTTCGCTCTCAGTTTTCCAAACGTCAGGGTTCTCAACTTGAATTTCAACTCCCTGGCCGGCATCAATGAACTGGCAGGATTGAACTGCCTTTCTCGCCTGACCATTGCCAGCAACTGCATTGTTCGGTTGAGGAGGCTGTGCCAAGTCTTGAGTCGGATAGGAAGGACAAACAAGAACAAGGTTTCTACCCTTCAAAAGGTAGATGTCAGAGGCAACCCACTCACAGTCAGATTTTATCCTCCGGCCGTCACTGGAAGTGGGAGAGCCGGAGACGCAAAGGATTTGAGAGTAGAGGATGAGCCCAGCCAACGTGAGCAAGCTGGATTAGATATCCAATCTGTGCTCGCTGAGTTTGGGCACGCTGAGAACTTAGAGCGTTCGCTTGTCGATGAAAAAGATGACGACCCTATCACTGAGAGAGATATCGAAATCAACGACCCATATACTCTGCCGCCAGCGGACCCCCAGGCCGACCAGAAATATTTATCCCATTTGGATGAGCCGACACGGCTCCGACGCAGAGTATTTGAACTGATGCTGTATGCGGGAACAGGCGGCTCCCTCAAATTTTTGGATGGATTGCAGTTGCGTCCCACGCTTGAACCAGGCTCTGACATGGATCACGCTTGGACTAAGCTTGAAAAACTTGGAGTACTGAAAAGAAAAGCTATTACTGGATGATATTTTCCTTCTTCCCATTCTTCTTTCTCTCTTTCTTCTCTTTCTTGCTTCTCTTCTATCCTTCTTTTTTTTCACTTTCTTCAACCCCTCTTTCTTTTTCTCTTTCTTTTTCTCTTTCTTTTTCTCTTTCTTTTTCTCTTTCTTTTTCTCTTTCTTTTTCTCTTTCTTTTTCTCTTTCTTTTCTTTTTTTTTAACACCCTTTTCCTATTCTTCTCTAACGGCTTGTATGTATGAGTGTTTTAATGTCGGACTGACTGGCGTTGTTTCCCGCAACGGATTGCATATTTGGAGTTCTGGCATTGGTTGAGTGAAGGTCTTGGGATTGCCTGCATGAGCGACTTTTTTGTGTTCCTTTGATGTTCACTACTAAATCCGCAACTTATTTATTATGCTGCTTGGACTACAGATACCAACAATAGAACTGGCCGGAGTGATCCTGTTTATTCTAATTCTGGTCGCACTTGATGGGTATCTGTGAGTCGATATCCGAATAAAAGCCAGGGTCAACACAGTTCGAATCATTTATAGTTCGGTTTTGGACTTGAGCCTTGATTGATTAGGTAAAGGAAGGTTGATGGATATGCGATTTAATGACATCCATGTGCTGGTATGGAAGCAACGGTGAGACCATTGGGCCAGGGAATCCTGTTGGGGGACTTCGTCCTGGACGTGGCGACCTGCAGCTTCCCCAAGACAGTAACTGACTACCAGGGCCAAGGTGGTATTCTAGGGCTGTTACACGCAGGACTCGGACTTGGCAAATTGCTTGCCTAGAATAGTGTCTGAGTATCTGCTAGCTGGGGCCTTCTGCTAATTCATACATACACACAAAAAAAACCACACACACACACACACACACAGAGAGAGAGAGAGAGAGAGAGAGAGACTGTCTTCGGCCTGTTTAATGTCCGATCGCATGGTTTATTTTGAACCTTGTTCAGAATGTGACTAAACGGTCTGTCTGTAAGCTCAGATAAGCTGTACTATCCTGCAAGTCAATCCCTTCCATTTTGTTCTCGGGGAAGAACATTGATCTGCAGACTCGCTTGCGTCCATAGTCGTGACCCCCGGTATTCTCTCCTCACTTCTGATATTCCTGGCCAGTTCTTGTCTCGCCTTTCTATCATCAAACTAGCCTAAGAAAGAAGCTATCATGGCGACTAACAATATCCACTGCAGCGGAGGCGGAGCCATGGTTGTGGCTGATATGCAAGTAGACATCGTTCCAGGGACAGATGTTTTACGCGACACTGAGGATCGTCATTTGAAGCATGGAAGCGGAACTGACACTGTGTATGGGTCATCTCCAGTTCAATCGAGATGCTAAATATTCGCAACTAACATGGTCCAGTCTCATTCCACAGCCTTCGAACAATAGTGACGATCCGCTCAACTGGGCACCTGCTTGGAAATGTTAGTGTCCTATTCATTCCAAATGCATTGGGAGACCAACAAACGATCTGACAATACACGGGTGCGAAACAGACCTGGTCATCGTCGCCCAATTTCTCTATGTCTTCGTGGCAGTCGAATCCTCGCTATCGATGGCGCCCATGTTTCCATTGTTGAGCAAGGAGTGGGGCCTCAGCGAAACCCAGCTTAGCCTTTTAACAGGTGGATGCATCCTCGGTCTAGGCTTTGCCAACTTTCTCATTGTTCCGTTCTCGAACATCTTCGGGCGCAGATTGGCTAGTATATCTTTGGGGGTCCTAACGTTCCTAACCGTTCTCTGGGAGGTTCTCGCTACTTCGCATAGAACTTTCCTCGCAGCGCGTGTGGTTAACGGACTCACGACTGCTACGACGGAGAGTATTATGATGCAAGTGATTGCACATGTGTTCTTCCTGCATGAGAGAGGGTTGTGGACCGGTATCTATTTGTCAGTTCTACCCTATGCTGCTCCATGGCAAGGGAGTTAACTGAAGAGCAGTACATCCTACTTCTTTGGTTTATTTTTGGGACCAGTGATTGCGGGTAACATTGCAGAAAAGTAACAGCCCATTCCCATCTTCTTACCTCTTGTCTGTTTTCAGATGAACCACCCTTAGCTTGTATATATATATGGCCACAGCTAAGGGAACACTCTACTACAGGCATGGATGGCGAAGCTTCTTCTGGCTATCTTTGGGGCTTGCAGCCTTCAACATCGTCACCCTTGTATTATTCTTCCCCGAGACAAAATACCGGCGTTCAGTGACGACCCTCGGAGGCAAAACAGAAGCCATAGATGAACCAACACCAATAACAAATGCCGAGAAACACGACGCCAACGAAACAATCCAAGCATCAAACAACATCGAAGCAGCCGATAGCAATTCACGAAACAGCAAGGGACGACCATCCAAGAACCAGTTCAAGCTCTTTCAAAAGCCCGACCCTCGCTGGAAAGGCTTTTTAATCCGCGACATCCTCTCTCCCATCCGCGCGTTCTTCTACCCCATCATATTCTGGGCCGGCTTAAACGTCGCAGGGCCAGCGAACCTACTCCTCTTCTTCAACCTGACTGAATCCGCCGTGCTAGCAGCGCCACCCTACAATTTCTCCTCGGAAGCTGTCGGATATAGTAACTTTGCCTTCTTCATTGGTGGAACGATAGGTCTTCTAACTGCAGGACCCTTTTCCGATTGGGTAGCCGACAAAGCCACGCGTTGGAATCGAGGCATTCGAGAAGCAGAGATGCGTCTTCCGGCCTTGATACCATTTTTCATCACCACTGCAATCGGGAATATTATTGGGGTTTTGGGGTATCAGCGCCAGTGGTCGTGGCCCATTATCCTTGTTTTCGGTTACGGTCTCACCGGGCTCAGTGTCACTACTGTGCCCACTATTACTGTGGCTTACGCGGTGGACTGCTATAAGCCTATGTCTGGGGAAATTATGGTCGTTGCTACGGTTATTAAGAATACGATTGGGTTTAGTATGAGTTATTGGATTACGCCTTTGGGTGCGAGGAAGGGTCTTATTGCCCCTGCTATGGTGGAGTTTGCGTTGACTATGGGGCCTATGTTACTTGCTGTTCCATTGTACTTTTGTGGTAAAAGGCTGCGGAGATTTACTAGGAACTGGACGTTCCATCAGTGGTCGGAGATATAAGTCATATTGATCGGGACGGGAGAATTCATTACGAGACCACAGGTTCACACATATTCGCTACTTTCCACTCAGGATAAATGTAATTGTTCCTGATATACTAGAGACAACGTATTATGTCGGCAAAATCTCTAACGATGTGAGAAGGGGTCTGCCTTAACCCTTTTAGCATAGTTTTCCTTCTCGAGCAGTTTCACTTGTAGAGGCGGACATACTTGCCAACGACGCATCACCACCACTGCTGCTGCTTCCAGGTGCTTTCCGCTTCCTTCCAGAGGGCCGATAGTGGACTTTATATTTCAGCTGTTCGCCGTTTACCACTTCTGCTGCCCGCCCCCCGGAGATTGTTTGGAATAGTCTTTATCAGTCAGTGCTAAGGCGGGTCTTGGCTTCACACTTGGTCCACTTTCTGTACACTTATTGTCCAGATTATTTTATGAACTGGACCAAAAGAATGGGTTTTAGACACGAATCATGGAGACTCATGATGTCCAGAACGTAGCCGGCCAGGCATCTATGCCAGTAGACTCATCTATGGAGAATACATTGGGGTTTATCAGGTCCATCTCATTGTATGTCCTGCCCAGGAAATCCTGCATTGTAGGTTCCAGAAACGCCATTTCAGTAGTGAGACCCGCAACAGGAACCGTGGAAATACCACTAGGATCTAAGATCTGGTCCACACTCGCAGCACCGCCGACCGAAAGACGGGATTGCTCAGGGCTATAACCCCGACCATCATGGGGGATACCGATACCCCCAGAGCCGCTGGGTAAGCACTGCTTTACTCGCTTCAGGTTTTCGTAAAACTCTGCAGCAGCAAGATTGCCATGGTCTTTCATTCGGCGCAGGATCTCTATGGCTGTCTCGAGGAATTCTAGATCGGCTGTAGTGCCGATCGAGGGGAGAAGGCCTGACATCACCAGGATGATGGCGGAGGAGAAGAGGTACTGTGCATAGAAGTACCCGTACATGGGCAGGGACCCGTTGACCCACTCCTCGATTATAAGGGTGTGGGAGTGCCGGGCGGCGTGGATGCATGCCTCGCTTAATGTGATGACTGGTTGGGGGGTGTCTTCGCGATTTTCGCGGTGCGCGCGTTGTTGGAACAAGGCGTGGAGAAGGATTGGACGGGTGGCTAAGATGACACACTTAATCATGTCAGTGGTGTCTCAAGAGATAGCTGTGTGTTAAGACTTACCTGGTTAAATTGCAGGTGGAGAGATACGACGTGCTTCTGGGGAGTCTCTACAGCCGGTAACTTGATATGTGCTGGCAGAGACTGAACCCAGTCCTGTAATGCGAGCAGCAACTGCTGCTCTCGTTGTAAAAATGACTCCTGGTGGGGCTTGCGGGTGTAGATTTTCTCTACGATCTGTCCGATGATACGGGCTAAACGGATGCTAGATACCAGATATGCGGTATCTGAAAACTGCTCTTCAGCGTCGGGGCTATCAACCGCCGTTGGGAGGTCAACATAGATATCATCGTCGCGGATCTGGAGAGGGAGACCGATTTTCGATGTGTACATGCGGTCAAAGATATAGATAGCCCACCAGAGGCGCACACGATGTTCGCGCTCGGTTGGATCGGTGCATTGACGAGCAGGAATATTATGATTTAGCCCTAAGATTAATCCCAGACGCATGGCGCTTCCAATTAGCGTGTAAGCGGAATGCCGTCTATTCAGGAAGTATGAGTATAATGACTGATTCGCAGTTAGAGCACGCATAAAAGCATCGACGAGAACACTTACCAGTAATAGTAAGCTCTCAATGTGGATCATTCCTGGTCTTTCTGGTAGAATGGGAATGATCCCCATGGCACGTACATAGTACCTTGTCCCTGGCACCCGGCTAGTCGGCGACGAAATCGACCGCGAAGAGTAGACCTCGCCCAAGGCAAAAAGAGAGAAGAACTTGCATGTTAAGGCCGGGTCCTCTCGCAGAGACGGTAGGCGATATAGACTTTCCAGCTGCTCGAGAGTGGACTTGCGCAAGAACAAATGATAGACACGACTAAGTTGGTTGAAAGCAATCTTGACTAGTAAGCGGGCTTGAGCAAGACTAGGCCAGTGAGCTTCACCCTCCAGCAAGGAAGACTCAGGTGTATATTGAGTTCGTGCAACATGGGCTGTATTCGGGTCCTCTGTGAGAAACTGCCGTAACCGCGTTGCGAATGCGGTGCAGGCAGCGTCCCCCATGTAGATTGGAGGAGCGGTCGAGTCATATGGGTAGAACCAAGCCCGGTCTCCAAACAGAGGGTTTTGGAGTGAAGGATAGGATTCTTGAGGCGGTACCGCGGTGTCTGCAGTACTAGCCGGAGAAGGGTTAGGTGTGTTTGAAGTACGAATCTGCTCTTTCAGCCGAGAGTTTTCTGAGAGAAGTTGGTCGATATAACTGGAAGAGGAGTATGAGATTGAGCCCTAAGCCAACCGAGAACTAACGGGGAGTGTACCTTTCATTAACTTTGAGCTTACGATCACGTAAGGCATATTGACACTCGTCTCCACATCCGGCCTGACTGCATCTAGTGCAAGGCTGATCGCCCGAGCACTTGACCTTGTGAGAGTGACATCGGTGGCATCTACACAGATTAGAGCGGTATTCAGGGTTTCGTAGACCACATGACGTACGCGACAGATTTCTTCTTGTTGCGCCCGTAAGGATTATTTCTTACGACAGGCATATGGATCGGTTAATTGTTCGGCTAGCGATATCCCTCTTTTGATCGGTTTGTAGACACAGTAGTAACTGGACGCGTTGAGCATGAGTGCAGTTGGTCGGGATTCGGCTTCTTCACCGAGAGGAGTCAAACTTTGGCCGCTTAATCATCCATCCTTCCCTCGGCAATATATCAGGATGCCGATGGAAGAATGGGAAAAGGAATAAGGGCCGAAATTTTCATGTCAACATTCTATATCTTAATGTCCTAACACATCACAGGGAACTTGCTGGTAAAAAAGGAATAGTAAACAAAAATCTGGAAAAAAAAAAAAAAAGTGAGCCTGAGTGGTACGTCACTAATGAGTATCTTTGCATGTATGTACAGTTGGAAGTAATTTGTAAAGATGCCAAAATATATATCAATGTAGCATAGAGTGACTGGGGGATCGACCGCATTATATTGCTGTACAGTCGTGGACATTTGTAGATATTTTTATACTTGAAGATCGGCCTTATTACTAAAGACATTCTCACCACCTTTGTCAAGGCACATCAAGCAGGCCGTGGTTAATTGAGTGTACCGTTCCCCAACAATGCAGGGCAGCCGCTCCTTCACCAAAACAAATGGGCGCCCAATGATAGCAAAGGCATCGCTTTGAGAGACTTTATCAGCTAGAAATAAGGTAAGAAAAGAAAACTTTAGCCCCATGAATTTGTATGGGTTGTTTCTCGAAGAGAACAAATAATAAAGGAAGAAGAGAGAAGGGAGGGGGGGTTTTTTTGAGGGGTGCAAATGTCCAAAGGTGAAAAATACAGGCGAACTGTGCTTAGCCTACCTTAGAGGTACCTAATGGAAGAACCCCCTAGGTAGGTTAGAAAGTGACACAATGCTTCAGGAAAGCTCAATTTGGTACTCGAGGATCTAGTGGCTGCCAACAATGCTCGGCTCATAGACAATAACTTTGAAACGTACGTTCATGTTAGGGTTCGGATTTGCAGCAACTATGACCGGGCAATCTTCACAGGTTATATTATCCGACAACCTAGCGACAATCTCGACAGAAAAACGATAGAGTCAGTATTCTACTAGACCACAACAAGAGCTTCGCTGATGAACCCGATGCAGACTATGGCCAGCAAGGTGGCGTGGTATCTGGGATCGGCTTTTCAAAAAGTTACCGACAAGCTACAAAGAGAATCTTTTCCGTTGGAAGACGTGGGGGAAAACGAGACTAAAACAAATCATAATTTCAGTTAAATATATGAAAGGCTTTATATACATTCGCTAAACGTCAAATCAAGCAAAGGGCTCAAGCAACAGCACAGATCATAATGGTTTTTAAGCGACCATGGGCAAAGGTGCAAATCTCTTTGGCCGACAGCACCAAAAGTTATACACCGGGCGACAGAATTGAGGGAACCGTGTTCTTTACTCCTCGAAGACAAATTGCCCTACATCAGCTACGTCTATCTTTTGAAGGTATTCACTTAAATCATCTATTGAAAGGACGTTGATAGATAACAATCAATACAGGTAAAACTGTAGTGCGCGTGGACACCAATAAAACCAACATACCGCTCCCCCAAACTACGGCTTCTAAGACCTTTCTTCAAATGGAACAACCACTCTACGATATGCTTTGTCTGAAGGCCGAGGCACTGCAAATTGGCACAGAATATCGACTGCCTTTCGAGTTTGTCGTTCCTGAAGAATTGCTGCCACATGTTTGTCAAAAACACCATCGTCACGAGCAGGTTCATTGGGAACACCTGCGGCTGCCTCCTAGTCTTGGCAAGAGCTCACAAACCTATGACGAGAAGACAGAAGACATGACAACCAGGGCAATGGTCATACAATACCATGTCAGATTCAACATCTTGGAAAGTAGCCAAAAGCACGGCATGTTGTCTACCGTCGGAGATTGGACGCAACCGGTGCATATTCGCTCACCGCGCCTTGAGCGAGCACCACTTTTAGTGCATGAGAATAGCAAATTCTACTGCCTGAGCCAGCAAAAACACATCACCAAGGGCCTTTGCCGAAGACGACTAGGGCTTTTGTCCGTGCAGACAACTACACAATTGTCAATAGATCAAAGGGAGGTATCAGCCGTGCTACCCATCAAGATAAATTTGAAATACAATTCAACTGCAGGGTCCCGGTTACCGAAACTTTCTCGTATACAGCCCGAATTGAATGTTCTCACCAGCTTTGGTCTGACGCCGTGGTCAGACTTTCCTGATCTAACAGAACCGTCCACATGGGACCAGCATAACGACTATCACGAGCACGCTATATGCCTGAAAACAGTCACTCCGTCGTTCTTGCATTGGCGAAGAGATCCTGGTGTCAGGGGTAATACACGCCATGCATTCCCTGCAACAGATACAGTATACACTGCGACATTGGAGGTGCCAATTACTTTCCCCAGTCATCTTCCTTCAACTCCAACCTTTTACTCTTGCCTCGCTGCAAGAACATATTCGTTGAGAATATCACTATGTTTTCTAGTGGAAGAGCAGCGGAGCAAGACGTTGACAGTATCATTGACAATACCATTACAAATATGTTAAAAGTACGGAGGTGTGTTCCAAAAGTTATCGAACTACGCTAGTGTAAGCTTGGCAATCAGCCGGTAAGGTGCTTTACCATACAATTTAGTAGGGAGAGCACTTCATATCAGAAATGCAGATATTTCAACCAAAAATACAGAAATCTCAACTGAAAATGAAGATATTGAAGCGCTTAGAAAAGCGGACCATCACCTAGATCCTGGCGTTTAGAAAGCCTTCCTTTTAGGCGTACACCCTGCCATTCCCGCCCTTCCTGACGTCCTTCCTGATACTCATTCCCCCCCTCTAGGCGTATGATCTCAGCAATATGAATAGGCAACCGCTCAATCCAGCGTTGTATAGCCTCCTGAGATAACTCATCCCAGGCCCTAGTCCAGGCCTGAATACCGGTTTTTCTATCCCGGGGGGCAGCCCGAGAGGTTGTACGGCGTTTAAGATAGTACCAGGCAGGCTCTATTGCGTTGAGATCAGGCGAATTTTCCGGCCAAGCTAGTAAACGCTGAATCTCATTCAAATCATAGATTCCCTGTTGGAAACAATGATTATGCGCAGGTGCGTGATCCTCTAAAACCACAGTATTAGGCCGCTCTGCTTTACATTCCTTTGCAAAAGGTAAAAGCTTAGGTGTAAGCACCTCCGAATAGTATCGATACCAGTCAATTCCACCTCCCTGGCTTCGTTCTAAGCGGCCATTCTTCTTATTCCAACACCACTTAGGCTGTCTGCCAGGCGTACGGCCCTCCCGAAGCTTTAGCCTTGCCAAAGAAGTCTGCAGCTCCCATCGTTCTCGGTATATAGGCTCTAACTGTAGATTTAAAGCTTCAATTTCTTTAGCAGCGGCCTTTTTCTGCTGAGCATTCTCAGGCAGATAGATATGCATAGGACCCTTTTTATCATAGGTAAAACAGCCCCAAAACATAAAATCGGACGCGCCTTTATATCGCCTGCGTATGACATCGTGTATATATGCCTCGTTTTCTCGTCTCCAGACCTTTCTACCACCCCGTCTCTGGTTTAGATATACTGAGGTTTCATCGGTAAAGATAATAGCCTTAAAATCCTCAATAGTCCAATGTTGGTGAGCAAGGCAGAATTCAAGACGCTTTTTTCTCATTTCTTCAGTAAGGCCGGGCTTAGTAGTAGGTTTAACTGAGCGAAAACCTGCTTGCCGAAGAATACGCCAGGCAGTAGTTGTAGATATATTGTTCTCAAAGGCAACCATCTCACAGCTTTTTTCCCTGCCATTTTGATCTTTCTGAATAGCTTCAATTACTGCCTGCTTAGTAGATTCAGCTGTTTCAGGCCTACCAGACCTAGGATCATCTTCTAGATATTCAACTAGGATCCTAGGATCCTTAGTAGGATCAAATCCACGCGCTTTGGCCTTTCGATTCCAAAAGTAGATTACCGAGCGAGGTAGGCCACTAAGAAGCTCTATTTGAGCGATTTCAACCTTTGCATTCAATAGTGAAATTGCTTGAATTCTGACCCCTAAAGGATAGTGCTTTCCAGGCATACTGAATATCAGGCAGGTAGGCAGGCAGATAGGTAGACATACTGATCAGTAAGAATATCAAACCACCTGGAGTTATGAATAGGGGTCAAGACCCCTATTCTGAATAGCTTCATTTTACTTTTTTATATAGAAACAAAGAAATAGAACAAAGAAAAAGTGTATATCAACTATATCAGGTTGATTATATGGCAATTTGTATGGTAAGGCTCTTACCAGGCTGATTGCCAAGCTTACTAGCGTAGTTCGATAAGTTTTGGAACACACCTCCGTATGTTAATATCTTAATTCAGAAATAGACTAGCCGTACTGGGATTGGCGCCATGAATTGAACCCTCCTGAGTAAGCTAGTGTGCGGGTCACGTGTGGATCATCGCCATTTGCTGCATAAGCAGATGTCAAAGTAAACCAACCGGTAGATCAAAATGATGGTATCTGGATTTAAACTCATTTATCTATAAGTAGACCATGTGCGATACGCAACAGATAAGGGAAGCATTTGATGCCGCAGGCGGTTTTCTAAACCCCGTCCTTCAAAAGGGTACGCAACCACCAAGTAAAATAACTCAAATTGACTTGGTACGCTAACTAAATTCAAGAGGAGCTCCAAAAGTCCCGCGGAAGCTCATTACTAAAGATATTGAACGGAGACTTGATAGATGAAGCCTTAGATGAAAACTCAACAAGGGCTACTGTTATCGGGAAGGCTTTAGACCTACTGACTCGCATCCACAGTGCGTTTGTCTCTCCCGTAAAGGATGCAGAATTTACGCAACCTAGCGGCGAGTCGGAAGATGCCGCTTTGGAAGACGCAAAGCGACGCAGGCTGTTACATGCCCTTCTGGACCTAATTTCTTTAGAGGGAATTTATCCATCCCTCTCATCTGGGGCGGGAATTCCTCTTCAGCAAAGAGTGATTTCTGTATTGCCGGCCGGTGTTATTGCTCACCAACCGCAGAAGCCCACGAATAACAAACCACAAAATGAAGTGCTTCTAGAACGCATAATGTCCGTACTTTCGGACATCATTTGCGATGAACGATCCAGTATACAACCTGTCATTCGTGGCCGTATATTAAGCGATATAATCAGTGCAGCCTCAGACTTAGTCTCGAATGCAGAACATTTATCCGAAGATAAAAAGCTACACTACCGTGATGTGCTCGTCAAGGTAGTTGAAGAGTACGTCTTGATCAAACTTATTGCGTGATTTTACACATGCTGAGAAATTGTAGAACACCTAGCCCGGTTTTGTTGTCCACCCTGTCCAGCTTCCTTCAGTCGGATACAGCTCCGTGGTTCAAAACCATAGTTTCTAGTCAAATATCACGGGTCCCTTTGCGTCAGGACGGGGTTCTGCAAACGATACTCTTCTTAGCTTCACAGCTTGCTCCTTCACTAGGTCAGGGGTCTCAAGACCAGACATCTAATGGCCCACACTTTACAGTGCAGGCGATCATGCAGTCTTCGCGCCTTCTATCGTCAGTACCACAGGGAATGGACCCAGTACACTATTTCTCTATCATTGGGCCCCAACTATTGGCTTTGATTGATGGAGACGATCCGGATCTGAGGAAGACTGCGGCATACGTGGTTGGTAACGGGATTTTATGCAAGCGTGCCTACGGTGCCCCCGGAACTATAGGCCATTCTATCTTCCTGGAACCGCTATTCAAGACACTCACCGCTGGACTAGATAATTCTTCAAGAAAATGGATGTTGTCCTCCTCAACTACAGGCGACGACTTACCAGACCGAGTTCTAATGCCTGAATCCTTTTTGTTGCTGGCAGTTGATAGGCTGAGAAGTTTAGTGCTTCAACCTCCGAACCCAAGTCTCGTAAAGAGAGTTGTGTACCCAATACTCGTTCCGCTTTGGGGATTGGCCTGTTTTACTTCAGAGCAACAACGCAGTTCTCTCCATGAGAAGATTATGGAAGTGTTACAAACGTACTTCGCTATATCGGTCGGAGAACAGCCACTAAAGAAGTTGGTTGATAATCTGCTCTGGGATGGAGGTTCCACCTGGACTTACAGTGTGGTTCCAACCTATGGGGTCTCGTTGGTTAAGCGCGAGATTGCCGAATCGAATCAGTTGAACATCGTACGACTTCTCGACACTCTACAGTCTAGGGCTAAGCTTTTCGTCGGGTTACTGGGAGCTGATCCTAGCAGCGAAGAGCGCACCGGTGATATATTCCTATATGTGAGCGAAAGCTGGCTCGTTCAATCTCCAGTTAATGAACGATCATTCAACAAGTCCCAGCTTGGCCCCGAGAATGAGACCGAGAGCATGGAACGCAAGCTAGTTAGCGCGAAACTGGCAGAGACCCTCCTAGACAATTTCAAAGATATCCTTTCTCGCCGGCCCCTTAGAGTACTCGAACTTATTAAGCAGATCATAGACGGCGAGCTCAATCGCGCAAGTACACGAAAGAAAAGGAATGGCGATCTAGGACCTAGCAAGGTATCACTCTCCTCGCTGGCGAACATTGTCCCTACGGAAACAAATACAGAACAAGGCAACGCAGAAGAGTCAGACTCAACCGAATCCCTACCGGCTGTGTTCAGTTTACTCTCCACAGTACTTGCATCCCCCGAATTCTCGGCATCACAGGATACTTTGCCGGTCCTTGAAAATCTTAAATCACGACTCGACAAACTGATCCCCTACCTTCCCCCATCACTCGCTAAACCAGGGACGACTTCCTCAATGCTTTTAGAGATTCACCTTACGTCACCTGCAGAACAGAGCCAGAAACGGCCATACTCTGAAGTGTCTGATTTTGAAACTCATCGCCGAGCTCTGACCAATCTTAATTCTGACCTTCCCCCGGTTCAAGCTGAAGGGTTCTCACTTCTCTCCGATCTGGTTAAAAAATCCTCACCCGTCCTCGACATACCGTCTACATTAGCTCTCCTCCTATCGATCATAACAGACCCGTCCGAAACTGCGGCTAATGACGAGTTTATCTATCTGAATGCAATCAAACTGATCGGCACATTAGCCTCAAGACACCCACGCACAGTGGTCAAAACACTAGTCGACCGTTACACAGACCGAAATGAAACCGCTAGTCTCGATCAGAGGCTCAAAATTGGAGAATCTCTTTTACGAACTGTCCAAGACCTCGGCGAAGCATTAACTGGAGAGACTGCAAAGATCCTAGGCGAGGGTATGATTGCAGTCGCAGGACGACGGGCACAAAAGCCAGAGACCCAAAAGCGCCGCAAACAACAACTTGAGAAAGAAAAGCGACAAAAGGAACGTGAAGAACGGCGAAACAAGGAACCTGCAATGCCATCAGGCTGGAAGATCTCCTCTCCCACACCAGCAGCAAATATACAAGAAGACGAAGAAGACGATTCCGAGTCCGAGTCTCCTGAACAAGCCGCCCACTCCGCTACTGTCATCGCCGCCTGGGCTGCGGGTGCCTCGTCAGATGATGAGCCGGATGACCTGCGAGCTCGTGCCTCTGCGCTGTCCATCCTGGCGACTGCGATCCAAACTAATCTTGCCGGTCTTGGACCTTCGGTGGCTTCT